ATGTTCACACAAATACTGCTCGACCTATTCAACGAAAAGAAGAGGATTTAAAACCTCTTGACCTTTCCCTCAATGCAACAAGTCCAGTTGAAAACACACCTTTATTAGTAAAACTTATTGGTCCACAGTCCAGACTGTCAAAAGCTGAATCACTGTTAAAACAAAAATTGAAAGAAATGTTCAAGAAGGATGAAATTAATGTATCTTATAACTTACTCAGTCATCTGTTATCTAAAATAAAGCATATTTGTAATGAAAATAAAGTTATATACAGCTTTAAAAAGGACTCTACATTTGACAGTATGAAATATATTATTAATCTTGAAGGAAGTACATCAAATGTTGTTTCTGGCAAGGCTGCTATATTAGGAGAAATAGTAGCATATCATGAATCTATGCCCAGGGAAAGCACATTTAATGTCCCACCACACTGGGACACTCAGCAAAACAAAACAACTGCATTAATCCCTCTTGATTCAAAATCGTCAGAATATTCAAGAGTTGAGCAAAAGTTTTATTCCACTATTATGGGTAAAAAAATTACTACGGTTTTTAGGATCCAAAATCTTTGGCTATGGCAGAAATATTGTCAGCATAAAGAGCTCCTAGAAATGAAAAACATTGATTCAGTTGATGAAAAACTTCTTTTTCATGGTACTCGCAGTAATGAGCCAAAAAGGATTTATGACAATGAAGAGGGATTTGACATGCGCTTTAGTGCAAAAGGAATGTGGGGAAATGCCAATTACTTTGCTGAGAATGCCAGCTATTCTGATGCATATGCATACAAGAATTCATCAGGTGCAAAAGAAATATTTTTAGCTCTTGTTCTTACAGGTGATAGCATTAGGCTCTCCCCAGATTCTAACCTGCGAATGCCTCCTCCAAAGTCATCAAATGTTATTGCTGAAGGAAAAGTGCAATTTGCAGAGACACGATATGATACTGTGAATGGCTTTACCCAAGACAGTACAGTTTATATGACATATGATAATTTGAAAGCTTATCCAGCTTACCTGATTACTTACATGTAATCATTATGACACTGTGGATAGCTTTACTCAAAACATTTGAGTTTATATGACAATTTGAAAGCTTACTCAGCTTATCAGATTTGTTGTATTTAATTTGCACGACATCAAAAGAAAGAAGAGTCTGCTGTATACTATTATAAGCTATGTACTTTTGGCATCAGAAACAGAGTAAAATATTTCAGAATTTTCTATGTCTTTTAAACACAGCATGGAATATACCAAATTGGTTGTTGTTTTTTTAAATGAAAGTATTTTAATGAGTTGGAAATTAATAATTTTTATACTAGTTTACATGCTTCACATTTTTGAAATGTCTTGCAAAAGAAATAAGTATTATTATAGTGTCTGAAAATGTTTAATAAGGTTTAGTTTGTTTCAAAATAAAACTAAATTGAATCTTTCACAATTCTTTGTTGTTATGATGTACTTATTTAAACAAGACCCACAGAAATATTTTTGTTTTTCATGAAATTGTAGATTACTCGTACATTTCACAAATTTTACTGGAACTAATCTAGCAACTAAATTACAGTGCAAAAAAAATATCATAACAAACATTAAAACATTTTACGCTATTCAGTTAAGGTTGGTTGGTTGGTTGTTTGTTTGGTGTTTTATGGCACAAAGCAATGAGGCTATCTGCGCCAAACAACCGGTAAAAACAGTGAAAGTAAATTAGTGTAAAATGTAAAAGTACAGGGATTTAAAACCAAAATATGTCCAAAATTTGGATAAAATATTTATATACAATTAAAAAGGCTATTTGTCCGTAAAAAATTAAAAATACAATCAAGTCTGACAGTGTCACCAAAAGAAAATGATGAGCTATAAAACTGTGACCAATGCGTAGCCTTGCCAAGACAACTTCCTCCTTCCGATCCTTACGGAAGCAAGAAAGGGAGCTCTATCTCCCAAGTTATGGTAAGCAGGTGTATAAAAGAAGTTTGGGTACAGTAGGTATTTTAGGTGGTTTGCAAAACAAATTAGTTAATGAAGAAGTTATATTCTCCAAGAAATGTATAGGATAGCCATTTTGAAAGAGAATGCCTTGTATGGAAGTAATTTCTTTGTGAAGGGCTAAATAGGACAAGGTAAGTTTGTAGGTCCTACAAAGATTGCATTTCAAAGAGAAGGGTATAAACTGTCAAACTGAGTGAAAAGGCCAGTAAATGTGTTTTTACGATAGACAGAAGTTAAAAAATCGTTAGCATCATGTTTAACAAAAACATCCAGAAATGAAATAGATATTTGTCTCAATTGCATGAGTGGAGTGTATAGAGTGGTGTTGTGAAGTTAGATAGTCAAGAAAGCGTTGGATATGATCAATATGGCAGAAAATAAGGAAAGTATCATCAACATACCTTCTGTAGAGAACAGGTTTGAAGCTTAAAGGACAGTTGTCAATCTGCTTTTGTTCATGGTGGCAGAAAAAAATTGTTGGCAAGCGTAGGACCCAGGGGGAGCTCATGGTAATGCAATCTATCTCCTCATAGAGTTTTTAAAGAGAAGAAGAGATACTTTAGTCGAGAGTTCAAGCATATTTGAATTCAGATTTGGAAAGTCCATTAACAAGAATGTTAATGTAGCCATCACGTGATTTTTAGGAGGGGGGGGAGTTAACTGATTTCTTGGGAAAATTGGAAGGATTCAGGTGTTGTAAATTCGTTCAAAGTAAGAGATTTTCAGATGGGTACAAGAAATTTAGCTACGTTATAACTGAGTGCCTAATGTAGAAAGTATAGGTTGGAGGGGGGGGGGGTCTGGTTTGTGAACTTTCAGCAGACCATATAATATTCCAGGTTGAGAGCCTGTAGGATATATATTATTGTAAACACAATCAAAAATATTTATTTTGCCTAGGTTTCTAAGGAATCTGAGTTTTCCTTTCAAGTTGCTGAGTATAGGTTAATGGTTCTTTGTTTATAAGGTTGAACTTATTGCGTTTAAGAATGTCAAGCATTTTCTTAACATAGTCAGTTTTCCTATGTCCGGTCGGGTGATGATTTTTTTTTTCTGGGAGAGTTCTTTGGTGGGTTATTTATAAGCGTAATGGTTGAATTCCACTATCCTCTCCGAAAAGAGCAGCCCAATAGCTGGTGGAGTGGTGTTGACCATCTACCTTCCCTATAGTCCATCACTTCAAAATTAGGGAGACATAGTGTATATTGTCCTTACTTAACTTTCAATTATACTTCAATAAACTGCTCAAAACTGAATAAAGGTAATCCATATTTGCTGATCATTATTGGCTTAACAATGGATACCTCTTTTAAGCATCTAAAGAAACCCATACAAATCAATGAATTAATATCAATAGTTAGATATCTGATATGGCGAAAATGCACTCTTCACTTGATCATCATTCTGGTGGTTTGGCTGAACAGGTAGTACAACAGAAATAAAGAAAGATAATTAGGATACTATACATAAAAAAAAAACAACGGAAATAAAGAAAGATAATTAAAATACTATACATAGAAAAAAAAACAGAAATAAAGAAAGATAATTAGAATACTATACATAGAAAAAAAAACAGAAATAAAGAAAGATAATTAGAATACTATACATAGAAAAAAAAACAGAAATAAAGAAAGATAATTAGAATACTATACATAGAAAAAAAAACAGAAATAAAGAAAGATAATTAGAATACTATACATAGAAAAAAACAGAAATAAAGAAAGATAATTAGAATACTATACATAGAAAAAA